TTCTTCTAAGGCTAGAAGACCACTGTAAGACACCCAGGACTATAATATGTCGTGAAAGAAGCACACTTGACTGGCATGCTTCGATCGTGTCTCCGGGGCACAGTTGAATGTAGATAGCATGAACGCTAGGTGTAGGATACCAGGCCAAGAAACTCGGGCAACCATTCCCCTATGTGCCAATTGCTAGCGCATCCAGGGCCCCGGCGCCCAATTCAGCTGGAGGGGCCTAGCATGATCTGAGAAGTGCTAATTCAGTTTGGATAGACTTCATTCAAGAATGCCACCACCTCGGGAATCAATAAGAAAATAAGTGCTAAGTTTCAGAGCAGTGAATAAACCGAAAGGAAAGAAGAGACCTTTTTCGCTCAGCGCCTAAAGAGCACTATGCTCCGCTTCAACAAATGAGAGTTTTCGGTGGAACAAGTGAACCACGTGAGCTGGTTAAATGCATGGGAGATAACTAATAACTGAATTGGACAAGGAAGTAAGGATATAAATACTCCCTATTCTGAATGAGAACCACTTTTTTATTTGAGTAAACAATCTGCGGCCTCAGGCCTAATATATATGTGCAAAAATTGCGGCCTCAGGCCCAAGTATACGCATACATAAATGTGGCCTCAGGCCCAAAGATGCATAATACATAAACTGCGGCATTAGGCCCAAATATAGGTGTTCGACATTCAGAGATTTAAAATCAGCAACTAAGAATCATACTACAATACATGATGCTGAAATATTGAATCATACATAGTTACATGATACTGGAATGCTGAATAGAACTAGACTGAGACATGTATTCATAATAAGTTGATATGTCATAACTCAGACTCGTAGGATATTGAACGAATTATGAATCTGTGTCATCTGGAGAATAAAAATTCTACAACTATTCATGGAACTGAGGCATAATTAATTTTTGATGAAATTCATAATAGTCATAAAGAATGAGATATAGGGAGAATCATAAACATTCCCAAATGTAAAGACTTAGCCTCACATATATTGACTCTGGACTTTTTAAGCGTATCATAATGTTCGTCACCTCTACTCATATTCTATTCAATTAGCCATTTTATCAAACACCTTATGGGCATAAAGCCTCATATCCCTCATTAATGGTGTTTTCTTCACCCAATTCTCATTCTACTACTTCTAGGTAATTCTACAATCCAAAATAGATGTAACTAACATCATTTCTCATCACCCAAATGATTAGAAAAATATTAAGCCAAAAACCCAAAACCCTAACATAATTCATATGATTCTCTTTATCAAACCCATTTACTATACTCCCAAGAACTCATCAATTCACAGCTATAAATGATTAGGGAGTAGAAGCATTACCTATTTGAAGTTTAATCCTCTTGAATTCGAGTTCTATGATTTCTTTTGTCAACAATGATGTCTCAATCGAATATTTAATGATTTGAAGGGTTTACCCATATTAATAAGGTATTGGAGAATTGAAATAAACTTAGAAACATCATTAGAACATACCTTGGATGGTGGAGGGACCTTGGAGGAAGTTGGGTTCTTGAGAGCTCCCCTTTCTAGAGAAATATTTGTGTTTTGGGGTGTAGGGAACGAGGTAGGGCTTTTAAAAAGACCTTCCAAGTGCGTGTCCATGCAGCAGAAGGCCCTACATCACACCAGAATGCGTAGCAAGGGTAGTGGCACTGCCACAAGTGCACCGCTACGCACGTGACTGTTGAGCGCGCAGGCTGCACATTTTCTAGTAAAATGTGCATAATGTTTATCACAAAGATATGTCTGGGCTCCACAATATATCACTGGAAAGGTGTTTTAAAGGGCTACAACTTTCATGTTTTAAGCATTCTCAAATCCCTAAAAGATTTTCATGAAATCAGGCTGGAAGACAGACCTTCCATAAACTTAGTCAATTGTATCAAATCTTATGCACCTCACTGTCCGTTTGATTCCAAAACAACTATTTCCATCCATACTCATCCCTATTGGACTTCATATGTATAAAATGTCACATTAATACTCATTTAACACATCCACACCTAATCCGAATTTACAGAGTGTTACAAACAGTGTCGTTCTCCCGCTGGTTGGTTTGAGCCAAGGGAGGTTAGGTTGTTGGGAACTGATTTGGTCTGTGATGCTTTGGAGAAGGTGAAGTTGATTCAGAAGAGTTATGGTGGGTGAGAAGGTTCTACTCATAGTTTCGCCCATGAAAGGTCTGATGAAGTTTAGGAAGAAGGGCAAGTTGGGCCCTTGTTATATTGGTCTTTTTGAGGTGCTTAAGAGAGTAGGAGAGGTTTCATACAGAGTTGCCTTGCCACCTAGTATATCGTGAGTTTATCTAGTGTTTTATATTTTTATGCTCTGAAAGTATTATGGGGATACGTCACATGTTTTGGACTTCAACACGGTGTAATTGGATGGGGATTTGACTTATGATGTCGAGCCAAGGCCGTTCTGACCCAAAAGGTTTAAAAGTTGAGGTCGAAGAATATAGCATTGGTGAATGTTCAGTGGAGAGGTCAGTCAGTCGAGGAGGCTACTTGGGAGACCGAGTGGGAGATGTGGAGCACATACTTTTTGAGACTCTATATATGATTCTAGACTCGTTTGAGGACCAACATTTGTTCAAGAGAGGGAGAATGTAACAACCCGACCGGTCATTTTGAGTATTATAGACCCATTTTCCCTATGTGATGCTTTACATATGCGTGTTTGTTGTTATGTGAGTTGTTGGGGTGGTTGGTTTGGTTTCAAGGAGATTTTGGAGTAAATTGGGACACTTAGTCCTAAGGTTGGAAGCTTTAGTTGTAGGAGTTGACTAGAGTTTGACTTTTGTGTAAACAACCCTGAAATGGTGTTTTGATGGTTTCAATAGCTTTGTATGGTAAATTTGGACTTAGGCATGTGTTCGGATTTGGATTTAGAGGTTCGTAGGTTGATTTGGTGCTTTTTGACGAAAGTTGGAAAGTTGAAGGTTTGGAAGGTTGATAGGTTTGATTGGGAGTTGACTTTGATAATATCAGGTTTGGATTTTGGTTTCGGGAGTCGGAATAGCTCCATTGTGTCGTTTGAGACTTGTATGCAAAATTTGAGTTCATTCCAGGTTGATTTGATATGGTTTGGCATATATTTTGGAAGTTGAAAGTTTATTAGTTCATTAGGCTTGAATCGAGGTACGATTCGTGGTTCTGATATTATTTTATATGATTTGAGGCATCGAGTATGTTCGTGTTATGTTTTGGGATTGGGTTGTATGGTTGGACGGGGTTTCGGGGGCCTCGGGTGTGTTTCAGATTAGTTTCGGCTTGTTTTGGACTTTGTAGCATTTGCTGAAGTTTGTTGGGACTGATGTGTTCGCATATGCGGAAGCCTGGTCGCAGATGCAAGTCCGTACGTGCAGGCGAAGGGCCGTAGAAGCGGTCAAGGCTAGCGGTTGGGGAAAACCGTAGGTGCGGAAGGCAGGGCGCAAGTGCGAGATCACATATGTGGAGGATTTTCCGCTGATGCGCAAGCGCAGGTGTGAAGTCTTGTTCGCAGAAGCGGAACATCTGGGACTTGAGCTAGACCGCAGATACGGAATCACTAGCAGACCGTATATTTCGAAGGGTTTGGTTATTTTTCATTATTTGGAGCTGTGAAGCTACGTTGGAGGCGATTTTTGGGGGACTTTTCACTACAATTGAAGAGGTAAGTGAAGTTTATTCAATTTTATTGATAGACATTGATTACCCATGGATTATTACACCTAGTTTATGTGAAATTAAGGTGCAATTTGGGAATTTTTGACTATGGTTTTGGAGAGTGAAAATTAATGAATTGAGGTTGGATTTGTGTGAAACACATATATTTAGACTCATACCAGAATGGGGGTTCGGAATTTGTGAGTTTTGCCGGGTTCTAGGGTGCGGGCCCGAGGTTGACTTTTTGGGCTTACTTTGCATAATTGATTCAAGATCTTAGCTTTATCATTTGGAATTATTTTTGATGGCTTTTATTGATGATATTAAGTTATTTTGATTAGATTAGAGTCGCTCGAAGGTTGATTCGCATGGGAAGGGCTTTTTGGATTATTGATTTCTGCACATTGAGGTAACATATATAAACTTGGATTTGAGGGTATTTACCCTTGAGAACTATGATATTTGAGATGTGTTGGGGGTGACGCATGTTCTAGGTGATGGGCGTGTGTGCGTGCACCAGGGTATTCATGATCCGGGTGGATTTTAGGCTATTATGGGACTCGTTTCGCTATCTCTCATTATATCCATGATTTCTATACTTGTGTGGTTATTCTTGATGGTTTCATTGTGATGATATTAATTTGACATATTTATTTAATGTGTAGGCATAGTGATGTACTTTCCTCGTGCTAGTTATTAAATGAAATATCTTATCTGTGTTAGGCTTTGGCTGTTATACTTGGAAATCATGTCTAAATTTTCTGTAATTGTGAACAAGCTGAACATGATATCTTTGAGTTATTTCTTTCTACAGTCTGCATTATATCCTGAGTTGTTATTGATTATTGATGTTGGAAACTGACTTTTCTTCCAAGCTCGTCACATCTTTCTGCCGAAGGTTAGGACTGTTACTTATTGAGTACATGGGGTCGGTTGTACTCATACTACACTCTGCACTTCATGTGCAGATCTAGGTACTTCCGGGCGCGGTGATTGATAGAGTTTGCACCGGTACCTGCTTGAGGAAACTATAAGGTATCTGTTATGTCGTTCGCAGACCTTGGAGTTCTCTTTCATTTATTTCTGTTGTTACAATTCTATTATTCAGACAGTTTTATTGAGGATTTGGCCTTGTATTTTGACATTCAGTAGTGTTCATGTACTTGTTGGCACCTGATCTTTGGGGATGGTTATAATTGTGTTATCATTTTTTTTCTCAGATACTTCATGGAATTTCTGTTTTTGAGATTTATAAATTTATGTTTATTGAGTTTAGTGTTATTGTCAAACTGTTGGCTTGCTTAGCAAGTAGTGTTAGGCGCTATTATGGCTCTGGTGGGAGTTTGGGTGGTGACATTGGGTGGAGGTAAGTGTCTTGTTTATCCTTGTAAGAGGGGATTCTCCCCATAAGTGATGTAATTCTACTTGATATATTATTTAGGACCCAAATATATACAAGGTGACGAGCGTATACGCATAGCTAGGTGTTTGACCATATACGGTATTATTGGCTTGAGTTTTACGTTTGTTGAATTATGTGAAGTTGCTATTCATGTTTAAATTGACTCTATGACTACGTGATAATTTATATTGATGATTTAGGAGCATGCCTAGGATTATGACTTATTGATTTGGCATGAGGGTTAATTTTCCAAGTCGGGCTTTTGTTATAAATTCCTAGTCATATATATGCCTTATTTGCTCCATGATTGATGGTTTCTATGACCTGATTAAGATAGAACATGTTAAATAGCTTATTGAGTCATTGTGATAAATTTAGTTAAATAATTTGACATAACCATCATTTAGCCATTTGAGCTTTTATCCACGTTCTTATTATCATGTCTTATGCCCTTATATTATATTATTTCTGCCACGACCAAATATCCCACCTAGTTTTGATGACACCTAACCCTAACATGCTAGGTAAGCCAATCAATGAATAATATAACGCAAGTGAAGAGTCATCAATATCCACGAATAGAATAGTTGAATTACATACAACCTCCCAAGGATTCGTAGTACAAGTCATGAGCCACTATGATTTTGGATTGGTACGAAAATAAATACAACATCTATTTGAATATGCATAAACAAAATTACAATCCTAAACTACCAAGAACAAGTGGTAGCTTATATCTGGGACGTTGGTACATCTTCAATGCTAACCTTCACCATCCACAATAGCTCAACTCTAAGATATGCACCCAAGGTGCAGAAGTGTAGTATGAATACAACTGACCCCATGTACTCAGTAAGTATCCTAACTAACCTCGGTGAAGTAGTGACGTGGTTTCAGGTCTAGGATACTCACTATACATAACCTGTACAACTCAATAACATATACATATGCCCAGCAATAGTATCAAAATCTAAGCATGAAAATCGGGTACGACCAATCAAGGAACATAGAGAAGATGAGCGTAAGTCTTATAAAAGTTCAACAAATATAGAAGATATGCATTAGATATCAGATAACACATCAACAATTTCATATAGAGAAGATATGTTGTTACACCTCATGTTTTCGTACGTGAGAGTACACCATAAGTCAGTTGATGTAAATTGAGAAATGAGATTATATTTGAAAATACATAAAGTAAGTTAATCATCTTACCGTGGAGGTTACAAATCTTTAGGATCATGGATAACAAGTACCAAGAGGGTTGGAAGGCTTAGAAGCTAAACGAATCGAAGAAAAGAAGTTTCGCCGAAAGTCGACAAGTTGGGAATGCTATGCATGTACTTTGGGGTCAGACTAGGGTTCTTAACATGATAAGGAGGTTATTTTATGAGTTATTTTATTCATATGATATTCGTGTGTTACATTTTAAAGTCAAGCGAGTTGTGGAACAAAAGTTGGCAAAAGTCATCACAAGTTACATTCATAATGTGCTGAAAATTAGGTCAAATGTAGCAGCACTTTTCTCCTGATATACTTGGAATTACATGATGAACCACATATAAAATTGAAGATCTATGAGACTATTTTCTAACATATTAAACCGTTTGTCAATACGATATCGGAGTAGAGAGATATTCGCATTTTCGCAAGATAGAACAAGCAGCTCTCAATGGGACCCACTTAGGCGGTGGACGACCCTTGAACATTTTAAAGGGTTTGGACGGCTCATTTTTTGTCATTTTCGACCAAGGACGGTTCCCAAACTCTCTCAACACCTCTATAACTGTCCTCCATGGTTCCAAGTCGAATCCAAGGTGGTTTCGCCTAGACCTAGCCTCAAAATTTAGCCCAAGTAAAGAAAAGAGTCTCTATGGTGTTGTGATGCCATTAAGGGTGCTTGTAAGCTAAGGGAAGCTTGTTCGAGTTTTTTCTGATTATTTAAGGTATGTATAACACCCTATTGCTTTGGATTAATCTTATCTATGTGTTGGTTAAGTTATTTGGATGAAGAATTACAAGATAGAACTTGAAGTTCTATAAGAAGTTGTTGTCTCTTATTGGACTATTTTGGAGTTGTGTATATGACTTCATATGGCTGGAATTATGGAAAATAAGTTGGCTATGATATTTTTAGTATGATTATGTTGGTTTACATGTCAATATTGTTGAGGAAACTAATAACTAGAAAAGAAATGGCTATAAAGCACTAGGAAGTTGTCCATAGTGATATTATCGTGTGTTAGGCTATTTCAGGTAACTTTGAAATTCAGTACAAGGTTGGAAACCCTTTAAAATGTATTGGTTATTATACTGTATATATTACTAAGTTCAAGAATTAATGATAATGGGGTTAAAGGGTGCTAAAGGGATTCAATCCGAGCTTGCCGCTCGTCATGATATGTTGATGGCTTGTTAATGAAATATTTTGTACCCTATTGTTGATGTTGTTCTTATTGTATTGCTCTGGTTGTTGTTGTTGTTGTTGTTGTTGTTGTTGGTATATGGTATTGGAGAAGGCCCTTCTTACAGGGGAGATGCTGCCCAAATTTACATAAACGAGCTACTAGTTTATGTTGCAGACTTAGCCTTTACTCAACATTGATTTTGAATCTCCTTATGCTATGGTAGATTGAGTTGAGTTGTTTGAAGAATTTCTTGGAAGGTATTAAGGACTCAACGGAGTTAAGGTATATTAAGGCTATCCCTTCTTTCCTTTTGGCATGATGCATATGATATAACGAAATGAGCAAACTCGCTACTTTCACAAGTGACTATATTCTTAGAAGTACTAGGGATACCTATGTTCTTGATTCCCCATGTGTCCTATTATATCGTCTGTTCATGGGTCTCAGAAAATACATAAGTTGATAAAATTTATTTCATGATATTAACCGAAGGCATATTGATCTTATGACATCCGGAGAGATCTTATTGACTTACTTCGTATGCATTGCATTGATTTATACATGTATATTAACCCATGACCAGATGTCATTATATACATGTATAGTATATGAATATGGGGTATTGGGAAAGGTTATAGCGTTATGTACGCACCACCACCTAATCAGCATAGCACAATATACCACAAACAAGCAAAGCACGACTAAGGTGCTATAAGCAATTCGACATCTCAAGAGCAATCTCGCTCATATATCGTCACAAGGCCTAAATAGAACCACATCATGAATGTGAATAGTCAAATAGTCTAATGACCCATCCAACATAAGAAGGTAACATAAGGAATATATCAAGGCATGCGTAAGATTATTCTAGCTGATGACATACCCCTAGAAATTGATGTGTTGAGTAAACAAACCCGAACTCATGTAGAAAACACATTCTCATTGGGCCTACCAATAGGCCCCCAAATCAATTTCTATCATCCTAAAGTAGGTAACTAACCTTCCAAAAGTCCATAGTGACCCATCAATAACACATAAAATCGGTTGTATAACCCTCAACACACCTTCATAGCCCGCAACTAAGGAATAGTCTGCATCTGAGAACATCAAGTCTCTAAACCTCAAAAATACAAGAATCTCCATATCTGATCTCTAACTCTTCCACCTAAATAACTACCATGTCATGCATACACAATCACCTCGTGAGAAATACTCCCATAAATCTTCTACTCCACGTTGAAAAACTTGAATATCAACGGTCACCAACCATGTGAGTACTATAATACTAGTCAAGCATCCACAAATCAATACACAGTGCGTCTTCTACAACATACACCTCCTCCGGCGATACAAGGTAGTTCTAGCATACTCTTAAACATCTAAAATCTCCCATGTTGTCTAGAACCCATGACCTTCCTTTTGAAACTGAACGCAACCTTGTCCATGCAATCTCAATGCCACACGGTGCACCGTATCTATCATGCTATCATATAAAAAATACGAGAACCTCATTATCAACTCTAAATCAAAAGTAGGATAAACAATCCATCATCTAGAAACCTACCATTAACTCAATTCAGGAGAGAACATTGCAACACGCAACAAACCCTCCATACCCGTAGAAGACATCGGTCTCAAGCGGTGGTCAAAACCATTGAGAACTATTTGAAACCCATTTGCACATAACCAAGCCATCAGAACTGAATCCCTCTAACTCAAACAAGTCATGCGAACTTCCAAACCTAATAGTATAGCACAAATCACCTGCAAAGCTCTAACATACCAAAGGAACTAATCATTTCTATTACTATGTTGATTCAAACCACTGTTAAGCTTACATAACTTCTTTAGATTCCTCTTGACTTTCCTTCAAGATAATACTTCTCCTTCCAGTACTCTATGGACCTCAATCAAACTCATCCCAAGTGACCCCAATGTGAAACCAAGTTGTCCTAAGACTCGTAAACCACTTTGCCCCTCTTATGCACCTAATAGTACCTCAAACCGAGATTCCCACTCTGAAGAAACCTTTTTTGGATCCAAAATTGTTTCTTTCATCACTCCAATATTGCAATGTAGAATCAATAATGATACATAAATACTGCAAGTCGCGGCACCATCTAATGAAAATCTCAAATCATAGTCAAACATAAATCCGGGAATCCTTAAATACCACATATGAATCTTGAACCCATTAGAACCTTCCTGAGAGTCATCCACTCTGCTCTAATCTCCAATGCATAGACAATACGAGCCGAACGACTTGTGTTCCATTAGCACACAAATACTTTAAGAAGTAACCCCATTTTTAAGCAACCAAGTGAATACCTTATCCTTGCACACTACATCCACAGCGAGTATTAAACCTGAGTCATTCCAAAACCTTCATACACGAATAAAGCATATTACATCATGCATTCAGCAAATTCCTTGCTCGTATCATCCTCGAAGTCATAACTGTTCCGTAAGCATGCCTTCACCCTAAAATCTAATATAACACATAACCATGCGATCCGATTATCGCTAATAGACTCCCTACTTGGCTCGAAGCCATAA